GGGGGGGGGGGTGTACCCGGATAGGTTATGCGTTCACGTGTGGTGTGGAGGGTGTCCTTACATGGAATTCTCTAGGAAACTTCAGGGAATCCCGGAAAAATTTGGCTTGGTGCGAAGTTTCTGGCGAATTCTCTCCCAACACGCTAATAGATCTCGATTTTGGGTGTCCAACTGCCCCAGGGATCATAGATATTTAGATTTCGGTGGTCCGACGTCTTTTCAAACACGTTTTTAAATTATTATTATTTTTCCCGTAAAATCTTATCTACCATAACGTATATCAGCTTTTCGGGAAAAACAAACAGATTTATTATTAGCAGAGAATTTTCCCCTTCGAAAAGCCCCTTTTTCTCCTGGCAATCTTGTATATTGATCGAAAGTTATATTTGTCGATGAAGTAACGACGTGAAAAGGAATGGCGCAAAGTGTTATGAAATCCCCGATAGCGCTTAAGTAAATACAAGTATGTTTGGTTGAAGTTTGACAAAGCGTTGTTACCAAAACAATGCAGCAGAGGCAGCAGTACTCCTAGGGGGAACGCCCGTATTCCGATGGACTGTTGATAAGCGTGATTTTAGCCCCATATGACTATCACAACTTCCCCCCTCCCTCTATGACACATTACTGTCTCCCAATCGATCCCACGACAGCGTTTTCTTTGCTGCTATGGGGTGATCTTTGTGGGATTTTTTTTCATTTTCTGAATTTTCGAATCATTTTTCTTTCCATACTGTAGGATATTGTAGGGCCAAGGTCAAGTCCCATTGGTGGGCCAGCTGGTCTGAGCTGGATTTTGTGTTTTTTTTTTCGATTTTCCGTTTTTAGAGGATTTTTTCTTTGTTCCCTGTATTTAGCAGTCTCCCATGCTCTCCTACAAGTTCTTCTTACACAAGTAGTAGTTTTTAGGGCCTAAAATGGAAATTGGAAGATTATTGATTGATGTGATAAATCAAAATATGAAACAGTCAGCTCTGATTACGACATAACGATGCTTCTTTTCTCGTCAGATTCTCGCCATTTACGACGAGCAATCGCCAAACGGCAGCGACGCAGCGGACGGTTGCGCGGTGACGACACCACGGGGTCCTGTGGTAGGACGGGTTCGTGATAGTGTCGTGGAAATTGTCAGTCTGGAAAATCCGCCCAGTGAGTTTTACCGTCTGTTCCTCGTTTTTGATTTTTACGATTTATTTTCTGATTTTTTTTGCCATTTTATTTTTCGTGAAGGTTCGAGGAACTTCGAACGTTTTATGAGTCTGTCATCTTTTTGCTCTAGATCGAGGTTCTTTTTCGAGACAGGGGCACTCTTCAGGTGGTCGCCATACACCAGATGGGAGCTAAGTGTTACTTTTAAATGATTGTTTCGAGAGCGGTGATACATTATGGGAGGGGATTTGCCATCTGGATTAGGCATATGGTTTTGGGATAGCCCCATCTAACTTCCCTTTTCGGATCTCTGCATTAGGGTGAGCTTAGGTAAGCAACTGGTGGGGTTTTATGGCTGCTCTTACTTCTACTTTCCGCCAAAGAAAGGCTCCAAACTGGCAGTAGTGGTATACTAAAGTTACCGATGTGCAGTGCGGTCATGGCTCATATCTTGCAGAATTTTGCATGTGCTCATTTGATGATCAGAACTGTTGGGGTGATATGGGATTACTGATCATAGACAATGGGAAGTCTTCTCTGGGATGGAATTGGAGTTTGGTGGCAAGAGCTGAGTCCCGAGTCCCACATGGAGGCAATTTGTTAGCGGCGCTGCTTCCCGACCAGAGTGAGGTCGCGCCTAGTCACGATCAATCTCTTTTTCAAGTGCCTGATTCACGGTATAGAGAAGGACTGCTTCGCACCTCCGTCGACCTTTGGAACATGTAGCCTCTCAGTTAGTCCTCAGCTTCTTCCTTGTTGTAACTTCAGCATGTTAAATTAGGATTCCAGTGTTTACTGGGCAGTACGTGGCTTTTAGGTGAATAAACTTGCGCTACCCAAAAAGCCAATCGATTGGAGTGATTCCGTCTGCATTATTCGTGAATTACAAAAGCAAAGTCTAAAGAAGTCACTCGCTAAGTTCCCAGACGGAAGTCTGCAAGTTAGTCACATGGCCGTGCAAACGCTGAATCAGCTGGAAAATTGCGCATGATCAATCCGATCTCCATGCGTTCGCAGTGATTCAATCATTGAAAATCGTTCACACATCGTGATGCAATGCTCCTCTGCGCCATCCTTGTAACTCCCGAAATCTTTAACACGCCCTGTTTCTTTTGTTTTTTGTTTTTCTTTTCTCAATTCGTGCACTTTCACTGAGAAATAGAAAAATACTCGCAGGCGTTTTGCTTTTTTTTCTGAACAGCTTTTTGTGGAGGAATTCTCATTTCCATGACAGCTTTGGTCCTTGTGTTCTCCCCACCCCGTTTTGGACGAGTTTTCGCACCTTTGCACATGCGTCTCTCGTCTAATATTACCTAATACCCTGCCACAATTGAAGGACCCCTTCTGCTGAGTATATTTCACACCTCCTCTTCTACTGTCACTGTTTTGCTCATTGACGCGTTGCTCATTTTCGCAAACACTTGAACCTCTCATAGTCCTTGTTTTTGTTTACCCACCGTTACTTACCCTTTGAGCTTTACATTGTACTATTACTTCCTGATACTTTTCTTAAGTATTCCTAACTTCAGTTTCACCAAAAGGAAAGGAAACTCCGCATGCTTAGAAGGGGGTATTTCAATTATCGGTCTATCAAGTTCGCCCTTCCTATCTAGATTTTTGAAGTGCCCTTCACGCTCGAGTTCTTTAGAAATCATAGAACATCCAAATGCATTCATATTTACAAAGCAGCCGACGATTTTTTGATTTTTGAACATCAGTGAAGAGTGATTTCTAGCTTCTCGGACAGTTCCCTAACACATTGTACTTCTGAGAAATTCATACAGTCTTCATGAATTCCAAATCAGACACGTCGATCTCAACACGTTTTTTGTTTCTTCCTGTTCCTCTGTCTATGTAGATGACCATACTGGATTGTAAAGGTAGTTTTCGCTGCTCGGAAGGCAGTTAACTTCATCGTGAAAGCCAATTTTTGGGTTGGAGGTTGTGATAGTTGACACGTTTGTAGAACACATTTCGTTAGGGTAGGCGGTCAGCAAGAAACCTATCCCTTTCGCTATTGATTCAGGTAGGAGGAAAAAAATATCTAGGATAAATCGCTAGGGTAATATGGCAAAGGTGTTAAGTCAGCACTGTGTACTCGAAAATCAGAAAAAATTCGTAGCGTGGCGTAACTCGGAGTGTTTCACTGTTGCTGATTAATTTATTAACTGCTTCTGTCGCACCTTCTTTACTATGTCCATTCCTCTGATTTGTTGTAGTTCATGAGTTTATTTTGATAATTACTGATAATTTTCCGTGATACTTCATTGTAATATGTATGAGTGAGGTTGAAGATGATAGTGTATAATGAAAATGCAAGTATGCGTAAGGTGTAAGTGCTTCTTTGGAATTCTAGGCAACGGTTTGCGTGTTTCGTCATCGATGACGGACAGTCATCGTAACGCGTCGTCGGCGGACAACACGACCACATTCGCGGTGGTCGGTAGTGGCAGTGGTGGCAGTGGTAGCGACAAGGAACGGCTTGCCGCTCAACCAGTCCGTTCATCTCTTCGTTCCGACGGCTCGACGCCGTCACGACATCGTGTAACTCTGAGTCCTGGTTCGTAAATCCACCTTTTCGCACCTTACTCCCTTCCTATTAGTTTAGCCTTGTGCGGACGGCCCCGCTAACCATGGTCCCCGTTTTTTGTTCAAAATTTTCTTCCTTTTTCAATAAGCCATCATCGTCAGCTGCACCACAGTTCAGACCAGTTTTTTCTAAGTTTCCTGCCGCTCAGTTGTATTTTGCTACGTTTTTCTTTCTTTTTCTCTTGTTGTTAAACTTTACGGTCGCGTTTTATGAACAAACGACGAGGCCGTCTAGTGCAGCGTAGAACTTCTTTCTTTTGCAGATTTCTTAGCATCTTGGTGGTACAATAGTTTTTACAGAAGTCGAAAAGAGGCTGGCGTCATCGGGTGAGAAGGACACTCGATTAACTCGTGGATCGGCGAGGAAATCACGTTTGACGGATAGCTTCTTTGATGCGAAGGTATGTCGTTAAATCTGTCCTTTCGATCTTCGATTGATCTTCACCCCCTAGTCTTTACCCTTACTCCCGATAGGCTGTGAAACAATTGGTGTCAGAGTGGGGTGTCCCCACCTCGGAGGTGGGGAAAGTGGTAGAATTAATCCAAAGGACGTGGTGAAATTTGAAAGCCTTTGACTTTTGAAGGGGCCAAAGGATCCTAAAATTCTGTTTGAATCAGGGTTAGAATTAGTGATTGTATGGGTATTGAGCCGTTGAAAGAATATATGGGTATTGAGCCGTTGGGGCTAAATTGAGGTTATGTGGTCCGATTTGAGCAAACGACCAGTTGTAATGAGGTAGGATCTTATGGGATCATACTTGAAAACTTTCTCTTTCGAGAGCCCTGCTCTGTATCATTTAGTTTCTAATTCTCATGCATTCCGCGTAGGATTCCATAATCCCTGTAAATATTTTTCCTTTTTTTTCGGGTGCGACAATTTTTTTGTCACCACTTCTTACTTCTTCTTACTTTTTTTTCCATTTTCAAAGGGCGTGTGGCTATAGACCAACGACCACGCCCACATTCATAATTTTTCTTTTTTTTTTGTAGTTACAGCAAGCTCTCTTTTCCCTCCATTTCATTATGAACCGAATAACCTGTTTTTCTTATGTTCATTCTATTAGACTGTTCTGTAGTTTTATAAAGAAAGGAACTCCCCTGGCTTGTTTCGCTTTTTTTCCCTAATTTTGGTCAGGTTTTGTGGTACTATTTTTTCCTTTTTATTTAATTTGCTTTTCCAGTATTGTAACGCGTCTTTAGAGTGCACTGGACATAAGCAGTTTTGGGAGCATATTGTCTTTCTCAGACTGTCTTCTTCTATTAGTCAGCAAAGAGCCCTTTTCCAATGTCTCAAACGTGTTTCGATCCCTGAAGTCTCTCTTCTCTCCACTTCCTCTTCATAGAAAACTTGAGCCATTTGAAAAGTTTTCAAGTTTGTTCGCCTTCGCTTCATTGACGGATCTTCGATCCATTCCTTGAAGTCGGTTTTTATAGTCAAAGAAAGACTTAAAAGAATTATGTATCGGAGTCTGTTGGGTGGGCCTGACATGAGGTGAAGCTACGAGGTGGTAATGGCGGAAATCCTGGTATCAGTTACGTGAAGTGTAAATGACGTTTGAGAAGTGTAAATGGGAAGATCCGGGTTGAGAAAAATCGCTGAAAACGGCTTGACTGTCGCCGGGTTCGTTAGTCCTTCAAGGATTCATTCAAGTTTCGGAATACTTTTATTAAAACGAGTTACTACTTACCTTTATACAAACCCAGTGGATAAGCTGGTCCCTTCCTCTCTGGGATGGGAACTTCGGAACGGCCTTTGATGCTCTAATGTTTGCAGAGAGGCTTCGTAAACATCGAATGATTCTGTTTGTTAAGGAGCGGCTAGAAGATGCTCGTGAAGCGAGTCATGCGTCTCCTATGGCAACTCAGAAAAGCCGACAACGAGCCTATCTAAAACCAGCCCTGGATCCGGAAAATACAGTAATCGTATTCCCAAATGACGATTTAATTCCCTTAGGAATAGAGGTAGGCATTTTGGTAACTGAATAGTTGTTTCTACTCTGAGCATTGAACCTTCAGGTGACGGGTGTACACGATGATCCAGCGTCCACAAGTGGACGTCTATCTGCTGTCCAAATCTTACGGATTGAACCTGATGGTCGGGTTGGGATGGATGGACGATTAGCCGTCGGCGACAATATTGTCGAAATTGATTATCGACCGGTCTACCAGGTACGGTAATCGATTTTCCAAAGAATTTCAAGTGTTCGCTATTCATCGACCTTTCAGATGTCGATAGTCCGAGCTAGAGCCTACCTAAGTGAGCTACAATCACATGCTGAACCATCGCTAACGGTCGCTAGGCCGCCGTCCTCGTTTGCAAACGACCCCTTCTTGAGAAGTCAGCCCGGGACGTCCTCGCTGCAGAATCGACCCATCTTGTCAGCACTACAGCAAGCGAACACTGTCCACATCGGTCATACAAAGGTGGTCGAATTGAAGAAAAGTAAGTTCATTCTAATTTCAACTTTTATTCTTTTTCATTTCGCTAAAAGTCTGTAGAGTGAAAATCTTGAGCAAAATTGGTTTTGGGCCAAATGGAGATGCTGGGAGATCTTATCCTCTCCAATTTTTCCTCCTATCTTGTCATCTTATTCTTTTTTGATGGATGTTTTGGTGAGAGGGGGGGGGGGGGGGGGGGGATGAGAAATTACCGATATCGCTTGAGTGATACCAAGATCGAATTCTGCCTTCGTAAGACAGGGTCATACCCTGTTGACATCGTTGTTGTCAAGCTCCGCAGAAGCAAAGTGAACGCCGGGAAATATTGACGAACGTTGACCCTTGTAACATTCAACTCTTTGCCCTTGTAGTGTCCTCTCAGTTTCGCTTCAACACTTTTTTTTCTGAAAAAAAGCAAATTTGTTGTCCCTTTCACGGCAACGATGGTTTCGTTGACTCAGCAGTTTTCCCTTTGCTGTTTCTTATGTTGATGTAAATTTGATTAGATGCTTCATGAAATTCAATGGCTGGTGCACTTTGATAACTGTGTATCGGCGTTATGCACAGATTTGATCAGGCCTCACGGGAATGGCTGTGTGGGAAATTGTGTGGGCAGGAATTGTGGGCAAAACTCTGGCTTCGGAGGGACTCGAACAACAGCGCTCTTTCACAAAATATATTCGTACTCATGATAATACTTCTAAGGAGGGTAGAAAGCGCCAAGCAGCCCACTAATTGACTCTCCATTCAACATATTCCTCAACCCCTAAGCACGTGTGCTCTACGGTCCCGCTGACAATCGTTTCAACAAGTGGGCCCTAGTAACGTCTCCATTCATCCCAGTCGCGAGCCATGGTGGTCCAGTGCCTTCGCTCGTGGGACACGGGCAAAGCATTCGTTTCGTTCAGAGCTTTCGTGAAGACTATCGCACTGGTGGCCATCGTGGTGTTCGTTTGACGTCCCGAGGGATCCAGTCAGTAACTGCGCTGGTCCAACGGTTATCACGATACCGTATGAAGTGTCCAGCCCACCTGATCTTCGAATTCTTCGAACAATGGCGTCCCTGGTCTTCGTTCCTTCGACGACGGAACTCGGAACTCCGGATTCCTTTCTGCACTTGCGTGTATGAGGAAATCCCGAGCATCACCCTTTCCACAGCGCGTTGAATGATGTTTACTGCATGTGCTGTTCGCCCTTCTTTAGTAGATGCCAAGTATCCGATATGTATGTCAAAATAGGAGGGTCCCCCGGCTCAATGAACGAAGATCAGAAGTGCCGTTGTTTACGCCAAAAAATCAATTATATCACATATTTATGCATCCACTTTACATGGCGCATTTATAGTCACAATACAGTTTTTTGGCTAGTTGATTTTAATTTTATGAATATTTTTCATCGTAAAACTGTAATGATAAGTGGTAATTGATAGTGATTGTGTAAAAATGTCATTAAACCTTCATCAATAGATCGTTCATTTTAGCGCCAGCTGGTTTTGGCTTCACTGTAACAGGAAGAGAGACTGCTAAAGGTGAACGACTGTTCTATATAGGAACAGTGAAGCCGAATGGGGTTGCTCTGGGCCATCTTCGAGCTGGTGATCGACTGCTAGAGGTGATTTCTTCATCATATGGCTCATTAAAGAGCCTGTTTCCTGGGATTTCATATTATTCTTGAAGGTTTTAGAAATTGTTTGTAGACCATTTTCCCGAAATGGTCAAATCTTGACATTCTCCTACGAAATCTTCCCTTTCTTGACCTTGCCCTATTTCGGATTTGAGTTCTCGAACTAATTGTTGGGGAAGGGATTTGTTATGTTCCCAACGACCTGCCCGAAAGATTTGTTACCCTTTTTTTGAAATTTCGAAGTGAAAAAACTAATTGCTCTGTAATTTCAGTTGAATGGCGAACCTACGGCCGACCTGACTCAGGCTGAAGTGGTGGATCGGTTGAAAAAGGCTGCCGTGGGAGATACGATATCGTTCCTGGTATCGCGAGTTGTGGATGAAGAAGATGAAAAGAAGAGTAACTCAAGTGAACGGGAGAATCGCCCACCAACCCCCATGGGATCAGGGGCCAGACGGGGTAGTGAAGACAAGGTGGGTCAACGTAGGGTTTCCGTAGGGTCGTTTGTGTGAAAGTGTTTATAATTAGGCAACGGCATCGACATCAGCAACCCAGCCTCAGAGGGCTTCGTCGATGGAAGAATTGGAGCTGATCATTCCACTTAATGATACAGGAAGTGCCGGTTTGGGTGTGAGCCTGAAAGCTCGTGTCACCGTACGGACTAATGGGACAAGGCAAGACTGTGGGATATTTATCAAAAATGTAAGATTTTCATCATTTCTATTTGAATTTTTGTTCTGCCCGCTGCCCTAGTTTTGACAATTGCAACAACAAGTAGGGGTCCGATACTTTACTAGAGGCACTTTATTTGAAGGCATAGTTCACGATAAAAGTGGTTTTTGAGATTTCCACACAGGGTGTATTCGAAGTTCCCTCATATACCATATCTGGCCCTATTTTGTCGGAAAACGGCCCGGATAGGGCGTTATAAAGACCCAATGATTACCGTGCGTGTATCCTCGGACGAGTTTCACCGGCATTGTAGAGGCTGCACCGAGGAGTCATATAGGAGTTTAAACAATTTGTTATGACCAATAGCGACAGTGAAAGGCAGTTCTGTACAGTTCTGACTCGATGTAGACAGCTCTTTGCACAATTGCAACAACTGTGATCTCATTCGAATACCCCTTCCATGTTATTTCCGCCGTGGTAATCTCGTCCACCCTCTGTTATTCCTACCTTTAGACAGCATTATTTTTCTCGAAATCGGCGAATTTTCCCGCTTTCTTCACTACCGATGAACTATTCCCAACCCATACGTCCGCTTCTCGACTAAAAAGGGGCACCTTGAAATTATCGTGAACTGCGCCTTTAAACACTGATGAATTCAGGCTGTGCACTTGAATTCAATTAGTGTTCATGACACTGCCAGTTTTAGCCCAGGGCTATTTATTTTGAAAATACGTATACGTAACGTTTTCGTTTTTAGGTCCTACATGGCGGTGCAGCCCATAAAGATGGCCGTCTGCGAGTAAATGATAGAATAGTAGGAATAGAGGAGCTAAGGCTAGAAGGCGAGACGAATGCCACTGCCAGTGAAGCGGTCTCGAGGCGTCTGAAAGCAATAGGTCCGACCGCCAAGTATGTGAGGTAAGTGCAGGATGAATTCGAGTTTTTTCGGGTTATTCCTTCATCCCTTCCATTTAAAGGCTGCGCATTCAACGAGCAAAGGACGCACCGGCTCAGACCACGTTGCAGTCTTCTGTAGGCAGTGTAGCTGGAGTTGCTACTCGGGCTTCCGTGGCTGAATCAAGTTCTTCAGAAGGCAAGCTCTCACCCGTTGAAGGAATGGATGCTGATTATGGAAGGTTGGTTTGAAGCAAAATTTTAAATGGAAGGCCTTTGTTTGTGAAGTAAGCGTTGGCTGGATATAAATGCTAGGTTTCGATTTCATTTTTAATGCAGTTGGTTAGTTTGGGCGGTCACAAGTCTGCCAGAGGTTGGTTGAATGTTCCACTACGGATTTCGGACGTCTCTGGGAAGGAAGGATGGAATCTAGCCAACTTTTTAGTAGCATTCGTGGCCTGCGGTGAATACGTTGCACACTACCAAGCCCAGTAAGGGTTGACTCCATCGACGTAAATTAAGGTGTCCCGCCACGAAAAAGAAAGGTCTTCCAAAGTAGCGAGTTGCGAAAAATCGCCAAAAAGTCGACTAAAAAGTATGAGCCCCGTTGGGGAGCGGTCGAGGATGTGGGCTCAACAGTAAACAAATTGGAGAAATGGCCTGTGGGCCTGAGCTCATGGCTCTTGACTGGGAAATGATGCACATCGATACAACCAGTAAAGAATTACTGTATACTGTGAGTGGATAGAGTCCAGTTACAAGCACCCATCGGCAAGGCAAGGTCGTAAAAATGTTTGAACTGGGTAAAGGCCCAAACAAGAGATAGGAGATAAGATTATGAGATAAAAGCCAGCCACGGTTGTAAAACCCAAATATAATTACAGAATTTCCCGAATTTTCGAGTTCATGATCACATGAATGTGATTCGATCCTAATAAGTGATAACAATTGTTTTAGTAGACTGGATGAGTCTGAACTACCGAGCGTCTCGGATCCGTTCAGTCGAGAAGCACCGTCAAGGAAGAGCATGAGTGAAAAGCGTGGCATGGGTGCTGCCAGTGATCCACACCATATCAAGCTTTTCCAGGATATCAAACATCAACGTCAGACAAGTGGTAAGTCATGGGAACTCATTTGATAACCTTCGAAGTAGAAATATGACTTGAAGAGGCTAATTCAGAAATTACCAGCCAACATTTTTTTGCTTTCTTCTTTGAATTCCGCTCTTTGGCCATTTAGAGATTTTAATTGTTTGATTTTTCCTTTGGGCTTCGAATGCTGCGCCGTTGAGTTTTATCACAAGCTTTTTTCATAGCTATTTCTATGCTCACATTTTTTTCTTGGCTTTTTTTTTTGCATTTCCTTTGCTTAAAAGCTTATTCACAGAGTGAAGTGCTTCAAATTTACCTTTTTACCTATCAGCTTTATCAAATCGCTTTTCTATCCTTTCCTGTTTGCCGTCATATTTCGCTCACCTGTGGCCGGCTTACAGCTCCTCTCACTGCGATGTCTACATCACTTTCTTTCCACGGACAAAGTACCGGTAGGTCAGCGTCGCAACGTGCGGCAGCTCGTGCTCGAAGTCATTCGGTTCATCCTCGTGCTCCTGCTCCACCGAAGATTATGAAGATGTCGGTGGCCCCACCACCCCGTCAGCCATTGACTCCGCAACCTTTACAAAATGTCGGTAAGTATGCTTGTAGTTGTTGTTTTGTTTGCACAGCTTTTCACTCATGCATTTCTTACCATCGCTTCGCCCTTGGTTCCAAAATGCCTCAAAAATCGCTTGCGTTCCGTTTACACTTGCAAGTGGCTGCCGCTTCCATGTCGAGCGACTGACAAGAAAATCGAAATCTATCTTTACCATGGATGTCTGTCTGCCATAAATAGACTATGTATCAGAGGTGCATAACGAATTGTAGGGCACTTTTGGTGTGCTCAGCAGTTAATGATACCTCCTGATTTGTTATCATCCAGTTCAAAACCTGAAGTTTCTCGGCACTTTTTTGCTTTCACTAAAACTTAATTTTAAGCTCCAACAAATGCTGAGAAGCGTCGCTCACTAAGCGTGGAAAGTATCAATCAGGATAGTCGAGCAGCATTGAGGATGCATCCAGCAATGGTAATTCGTTTTTCTCTCCTCCATTCGAATCACTTTAGGGAGGTGTAAAGGCAAATAATGCCCCGCGGATGTGGTGTAGTGGCAAGTGGCGCATTATAATACACGCATGGTCACGGGTTCGCATCCCGGATTGTTGTCCGCCTAGGTCAACCGAAGGTTCCATTCCTTCGAGATCGGTCGATTGGTCTAGGCCCTTCTCGGAGGATAAAATCTCTGACTTGTACGTAGGCTAGTCACTGCAAGCCATTATATAAGCCACATACGCATTCAATACGTCATTACGATTCTGAATGGCGGTCAAATACGGGACACAACCCCCGGACGGTGAAGCCTGAATAATTCATCCGTTATATTTTATTGCATCACGACAGATAACCCATTACTTATCTCTTCTGTTTATGAGTTGGTCAAGCATGAACGAATTGACGGGTTATAGGCTTCAAAGCATAGTCTTCTGGCCTTGGTTATAGCCATTTCTAGGGAGTGCGCCCCGCTTTTGACTTCCATTTGAATTCGTACCTGATGTGCGGGTCAGTGCTTTTGTCGGGTATGGTTACGTTACGGTCTGGAGCAAAATAATTGGCCGAGGGGATCGTGACACGGGAGCGATGGAACCCTCATTAGTAGCTTCGTTGACAAGCATATTGCTTGTTGTTTAATAGCGCCCTCAAAAGAAGGGATTATATGTCTGGTAACTCAGACTAGTGAACACGAATTTTACTCTTAAGGGCTCTAATACGATTCCAAATATCTGTTGTAATTGAACTCCCTGAAAACTTTGTTCAGGAAAAGTTGTAGGCGTTAAATTTCAGCAATATCGCGGTGCGCTAACATCCGATAGTTTTCGACAGGCAACCGAATTCTACAATGACACCCCTTATGGTTAGTCAAAAAGTTATCTTCTGAGTGGGAAGAACTAACTCGATAGTTCATGATTTAGGTGGGCATCCACACCCATATCCTCCTGGATCACCAATGATTGTGAAGCCTCGATCAACGAGCCGTGATAAGGACAAGCAGCGGAGGAAGAGTCTGGGCGGGTACGTTACAATCAGGGGCTTTAGGGTTTCTTAGATGCATTTTGGCGACTCCACTGTTGTGAAAGTGGAAGGGGCATGGGTACATTTAGGGGAGCATACAGTGCCATATGGTGTTTATTTGTTGTTTATTGCTATTTCGTTGTTGAACTGTTGCTTGTTTAAGCTTGACTGCTATGAAATCCTTCCTCGGTCTTGGCAGCAAAAGCCGTGATGATACAGCGACACAAAAAACCGATTCAAAGTTGGAAGAAGCTCATCGTCAACGAGAAGAGGAAGAGAAAAGGAGGTATGGAATTATTCTTTTAATTACTTCAGTACATGCATCTGAGTTTGTCCAATATCCCGCTAGCGCAGCTGTTGTCGGGTAGATCGAACCTTTCCCAAACATTCTTCTTAAACTCGAGGTTCCATCTCTGCGATCTGATCTGTTGAAATGCAAAAATTCCAGTCTAGACAACCCTACGTATCTTCCTCCAATTTACATAGTTAAAGGCATAGTTCACAATAATTGAGGGGTATTCAGTTTTAGGCAAACAATGGAAGTGATAGTCAAGAATAGTGCAAAAGTGGCGAAGAAAGCGTGAAAATCGGCAAAATTTGGAGAAGTATAAACCTCCAAAGTCAAAGACTGGACGAGAATGTGGCAGCGGAAGTTGCATGGAAGAGATATTTGGATGAGCTATCCAAACGTGAATGCCATTGCGTACAGCTGGATACAGTAAGCTGCCTGCGTGCGATGTGTTCGTCCCGGTGCGAATGGTGTTATCTCTACAGCCTCTACACTGCCGTGACTACTCAATGCTTTAGATATGTGTGTCGGCTAATTGTAAGCCGCCAGCCGCCCTCATTATGCCCAGTCCTGGCCAATTTCTACCCGACAGTGTCCCTTAGGCTAGGTTTGGGGGTTACAGATTCATGAAAGGGAGAAATCTCAGGAACCCTTCCTATCGTGAACTGTGCCTTCGAGCTGCTACCCATATTGATCTAGACGTGGTTCGTCGATTGAGATGGTACATAGCTTACTGAGCCAGATGGGATTTTCTGAACATTTTCAGTCCTCTACCCCTCAAATACTCAATTTTACTAGGTTTTACAATTGATTCAGGTTTAATTCGTGTATATACATTAAACTCCTCTTTCAGGATCCGTGAGCATTACGAGCGGTTACGAGAGAAGGAGGCTGAAGCGAATCGTGGAGGGCACTCATTGACCCCCAGTGCAGCACGTCGCGAAGCTCAGCGAATCTATGGTTCCCCTAATTACGGTCCCTCTCCTCAGGTTATATTCTATTTTCAATCGTATTTTTGAATTTGTTATTTTTGTTGTGGTCTTCGGTTGAGGTTTGCAATATCCTGGAGAACGGAGATCCAGAAAGCATGTTTTGTTATTTGGTGTGTCTTGCTGGTGTCGTTTGTATTGGTAACCTTATTCATCGTTGATTGCAGTAATGATGTCATAAATTTCTATTTTTTTAACTACTTTTATGACATCATTACTGTAATCAATGATGTGATGGTATTGGGAGGAATGCTGGGGTCGTTTTTCTTTGGAGAATTTCTTTTACAGAGATTTTCCCCGTCGTTGGGTTTTTCTCACTGTGAATGGTGTGTATATGTGTAGGTGTGTGTCGAACACGGTCTCCCACGACATATGCCGGTGATTCTCTTTCAGTTCACATCATCACCTACCGATCCACCTCTGATCGTTGCGAATTCACGATTCTATTGTTGCCTGAGGGCTAGGTATGCTTGCCTCTGACACCGAATAGTTTATTTCCTCTACCCTTGCCTTTCTCCCACCTTCAGAAGTTGGTTTCACAGTGTTTTGTCCGTGGTAATGAATAGGATGTAATGTGGTGAAAGGCGTGGTTTCTCAAAGCCCACTTACTTTCCATGAGGCTGCGGCTATACTCGGCAGATTGGCAGCGGCGGTTAGCGTCGACAATTCTCCGAGTATGGTCACAGAGACCATTGCTGCGGTTCACGAACATTACTACGGTCTTGACACTGTGATTCAGATTATGCGCCAAAAGAAGCCTTTTGCTGTAGGCCGCACGCGGTCAAACAAGTCACGGTAGCCTCGTACAGGTTGACGTTGCCGCGTCGCGACCGCACGCGTCTTGTTCCAGCAAATCTGCTTGATCTACACGCCTCTTAGAATCTGCAATCTTTTCCTTTGTTGCCTGTTGTCGTCACCCTTCTATCAATCCTGCTCATTATGCATGCCGTCCGTGTTTGTTAGACAGATACGTTGAGAGAATATTTTTAATTCTCTGACTGAACTCGACTTCACAACTGTGCTCAATTCCTTGTTTGCTGAAATTTGAGGTAATTTTTCGAGATTGAAAAGGCAGCTTTATGCTTATCATCCAAATGCTAGAGCCTGAGCAGTATATTAGTCAGTTATTTGTATTTTGTATTAGTTTGTCCTTGTGTGTGGACTTCCAACGCTTTACATCACCTTAAAACATCCCCGGAATTGTTTGGCTTATCGGATAGCTGTAATACTATTCCAGAGAGGAATGTCTACCAGTGTGCCCGAATACGAGTCCTACGATCTCATCGACCGATACCAAATGCATCGTTACCCGACGGCAGAAGTCGGCCCCGCCAGCGGTGTCAGTCCAGCAGGAATCACATCGTTCCATCACCGAGTCGTCTACGCCCACCCTCAACCGCCGCCCTATCACTATGCTATACCCAGGTACGATTTGGTCAAAAGCTATCCATACCCGAGTCCCGAAGTTTTTGTTAAACTCCTTTTTTGATTTTAGAAGTTTTCAGAACTTTTGATGATATTGAGCTTCTCACTAGAGCAGTGCATAGCCATTTCAGCTCAAATTCCTACCACGGTAGCCCGGTCGGCGTTGGTACCTCCCCATACCAATCATACTCCGAATATCCACCAGAATGTTCTCCACATCAACAACGACCCGGCACCGGATCCACCCCCGACTACTACCGTATGTTCAACTCATGGTTTGCATACAGCGGAGAAGGAGCTGGTAACACGTCCATCAAGGTGGGTTCAAGGTTGTCTTGCAAGGTGCAGTAAAGTTCAAGTTTTAGCTAATTTCTTACTCGAGTACTTATACCAGTATTACCTGGAGAGCGACGGAGAACCTAAGACAAAAACCCAGTGATATTCTGCTGAGATCTACTTAAAACTTTAGCTCCGAAGTGTTCACTGACTATACCAAGCTTCTTTCGATTCAGGCCGCGTACACCAGCCCTCTCCGTCCCACCATCGACACGAGCGGCCGATCCCCGTCCAATATCGGTGGTGCCAACGGCTTACATAACGCGCGCTACGCCAAACTGCGGCACGGAGCCGCAGAACCTTCACAACTCTCCTCATATTACACGAAGTACTAGGTACGGCTTTCATTTATACGAAAAACCTCTCAAGGATGATCTTCCTGGGGCAAAACTCCTCCTGGAACGGCATTCGAACCCGTACTCCCCGAGTATAAAAATCACAAGTACGGGTTCGAGTCCCGTCAGAAGTCATGCTTTTGTCTGATCCTGACTGTTATCAACTTGAATTTCAAGCTATAAATCCTTGACTTTATAGACTAGAGTTCAACGCCCAAGCGGGTCCACGTGTTTCTCTGAGGGCGAGAAAGAAGATGCGACGTGCAGGTGTACGATCTGCAGTGGTCAGCCCTCAAGACGATGTCACCTCCTTTCTATTTCTATCTTCGGAGAATGCCATCGAAGAGAAGTCATCAGAATCCGATCTGAGTTCCGCCTTATCCCGCTCACTCAATGCTGACCCGCTGCATCCACATAATAGCCATCGCCAACGAGAATCTCACACCCTACGGACCAACAGTCGGGTTGTGACAGCGATAGATGATTCCCTAGTTGAGCAGGAGCTCAACTGTTCCAGCGCAGCGGCGACGGTGGCAGCATTCGACTATTGCCGAGTATGGAATGAGTGGAATACCCGTAGCGGTGGCAGTTTACCTTCGCGACGTTCCAGACAACGTCCAGTACTACTAGGTCGCCAAGTATATGATCGTATTACTGATTGTTAGAGTGAGCTTAACTTTTCTTTTCACCCGCGCGACATCTTCATCTCACTAGTCTCCTTAATATCATCTACAAATCCACGGCTTTACTTGTTGGTTTTTTAAAAATATCGTACGATTTGTGATAGTAACAAATGATTGTGATGATTGTGGTTGTGTTCGGTCTGTTCATAGTTCGCGTCACACTGCCTCCTAACTATGAACATGATCCAAAGCAATTATAATGATGCGTTTATACATTGATAATTGTAAATTTTCTGTATATGTTGGCGTGCAATTCATCCATCCCTATTGTTGACACCACTCCTTGTATGGTGTGTGTCATAAGGTCTGAAATGTTTTGTTGCCTTTCGCTGTTTCTGACTTGCCTTAGCGTTAAGGTTAACGCCAATAATTATGTGCCATTTTTAATGCTTGTGCTTCCGTGACAAGTATATACCCAATACTTTTTAAGCGATTTTTTATTTAATTTTTACTTTTATCACTGTACGGACTGGACCAAAGCCTCCCTAATCGATATGACTTGCTTATACCCGTGTCTCCCGGAAGTACTGTTTGTCCCCTCTCTTGTACCATTTTTTGATTTCCATAAAAGACTAATTAAAAACTTTTTGAAAAAAATTTTCTCTAAAGGAAATACAATGATTTTATCACAAAAAAAAGATTAGGGAGGTCCAAATATAAGTGAGAGGTGCATACATGGGCTATACAAATGAGGAGGTACTCTCACGAACCTCCACAAACTCCATTCTGATGGGAGGGTGGGCGAGTTATCGCGTTTCGAGAGGTGGACGAGTTGTCTGGTCTTGCTGACTAGTTGCCTCACGAAATGATCAAATCTCCCAGGCGCCCTTCTCTGACCATTCTTCTGTTACGAAATAGGCTTAAACGTTACTATAGCATCAGGGAACATATTTGCTGCACAACCAGAAAGGACAAGTAGAAATTCGTGTACACACTAAATGTCAAAAAGGCAAAAGTCTCGGTTAGACGAGTTGGTACAGAAAGACATATTCATTGGACGAGTTGGTACAAGAAAGACATGAGCATTGAGCGAGTTGGCATCAGAAAAACGTAAGTATTAGACGAGTTGAACAATAATTGTATCCATATCATTCAGGTGTTCTGACACCGTATCGGCATAGTCTAACGGCTTCTCTGATCCTTCAAGGAAGACGTGAAGCGTCTAAAATACTCAGAATCATAGTATTCAGATGGTTTAACTAGCTTGTTGATGTGAATTTGATCGACGTTGTTGCCGAACTAAAAATCGTACATTTGGTGGTTGCCCCCTATGTAAAAATTGCATCACCAGCATCATATGCGTGCCGATCCCTTGGATCATGAAAGCGTGGTGAAAGCATTGAGTACTTATCGATCTAGCGATCAGCAAGACCGATAAGTGCTCAGTGTTTGTGGAACTCTGCTATTTCAGGAATCCATATCTAGGTCTTCAAGTAAAGCCAAAAAAAATCTAGGTCTTCAAGTAAAGCCAAAAAAAAGTAAAGTCTTAGCTTCAAGTAAATTGGTTGGGCAGTGTGGTTGGAGATGTGGAATAAGCTAAACGGGCGTAGAAACCCATTGGACCCCTGTAACTCCTGTTCGCTCTCGAGACATTGAAGAATGCATTAGTTAAGCGAGAACTGCTTCGCAAGCAGTTGTTATCTACTGTTGCAGCACTCAGCTAATTTAGTTATAGCGCCCACAATACTGCCAATAAATCAGCGTAAGGTCTGGCTATCGATTATTGATCACCATCGGAAGCCATTCTTCTACAGAATCGTTCTTTTACCTCCTTACCGAAGTTTGCAAATCGTGGACGCGAAGTTACAAAGCGATGCATTTCGAGACTAGTAAAGGTACCGGTCAACTTCGGCGCTGATGTCGAACAGGTTGCAATTACAAGTAATTCTCTTACCTTGAGCTCATCCAAGGATAACATCTTTGCAATGTTCGATGCACAGCGACCTACCGTCCATTTCTGAAACAGCATAGCATAAACACAATCGAACAAACAATCGCCTAAGCCTTATATGGAATTTTCGATTAAAACAAACAATCGTGAGAATTCTAATCTCCGGGAGCCCCTATTCTGCCTTAATGACTCGCATCTGTCTGACAATCGCAACCTACTTAAGTAACTCATTCGCTGAATACAGCCTACTCTGGATAATCGATTTATTCTAAACTTTTCAAAGACTCCTGGGGGTGCGAGGGTTATCCTAAAGTTCCCCGAAACTCCTTCGGCGATTCCCTGGGAAGGATCATTAAATACAACGTCTCAGCGCAGTGAATGTTGCATCCTCACCTTGCTAACGACGACAGCTTTTCGCTCACTGAGATCATCTCCATCTACAAACAAAAACATCCGTTCTTCAGCTGGAACATCAGCCGTCGCCTTTGCATTCATTTTCAGCTTCATTATCAGAATTTTATCCATTTTCTTACGATCTGCTTCACTTATTTTCTGCAACAGGATATTTTTGGGTGGCAGGTTAAACATAAAGCCGCCTCCCTCATTATTTTATTAGTGAATGAGCATTACAAAAACGTATTCATAGTGTCACCGTAACTGGTTTTGCCTTTTTGACCGGTTTCTCAACAGAAGTTGTGGGAGCTGTAAGGGCTGGAACAAGTTGAGGCCGAGGTTTCTCAACTTTTTCGGGACGATTCTCACAGCAGTGTTCATCAGCATGACGATGTCTAGAATCGCGGTCACTCAACATGCTTTCCAAGCCGTATCTTTGTAAGGGAACATACTTCAGGCAATAGTTCCGTTCGCAATAAGGGCAAACGATTTTGATGCTCTCCGCTCCATTGCAATCACTGTAGGAACACAGAAAGTTACGCAGTGGTCCAGATGAAGACGCCACGGCAGCATTTGGGTCGTACTGTTTTGAGTTGTCACATCCATGAGTGAATCGATGGTCAGAGCTACAAGAATGCATCATCTTCAGAAAAAAAAATCGTGGCTGAACAGTAAGAAATTGAACAAAGGGTGAAAGTCACGCCTTATTATGGACGCAAAACGTAGGACATGGACATGGAGTCACAGAAGACTAGGAATTAAAGGAACGGCGTAACTGTATTTAGTACGGTTGGGGTACGGGTCAAGATCTGGCATCGCTGCTTGCGCGTCATTAACGGAATCGTCACGGAGACTCAATCAGACAACCGTGCTATTTAGTTTGAACAAAATGTATCAAAAACGAAAGGTCTTGGCACGAGGCCAACTGCGTTGGCAGATGTCAACTCATGCTGATCACACATTTCAATCTATGCAGACACATCACATTTCACTTCCTATTCATCTTGAGGTGTTAGGTGTTAAAGTAGGAAGTTATTCGAACGCTAGCAGCCGTCATAAAATGATTTTTAAAATCCGAATCTGTTGGGAAGAACGCTGCTTGAAATACGGTTTAACTTCGATAGGAGATGGGTACTACCCAAAGGAAGCAATTTTGGAACCACGCCTTCTTTGCTGAATAACGTAAGGGTAGAGATATTTAACCGCAAACTGACCAAAAACATTCTTTGCAAAGTGGGCATGTAAACGGTAGAAAGTCTGAAACAAAAGAACACGTAAAAGGAAATGACTAATTGGAGTACATACTGCACTTACCCAGCCTTTTACAATTTTCAGAGAAGCATCTACCACCTAGGTCAGGAAGTTCGGCCATACTCGACCCCTGGAAAGAAACTACTTCTCTGGGAGCAAGCCTACATGAATTATTTTAAATGATTACGGTAATCGAAAGGGAGAAGGAAAGCATCTAGGGAATGACAATCAGGGACCATAGGATGTAAGTGCCAAATTCAAACAGAGTAAAGACAATCTTTTGTTTGAAAATCACTGTGGCAAAGAGGTATCGACACAAGGCTGTTGAAAATACGCCTCATCCAGTGGCAACAATGCGACAGCGCCTTCTGTAAGTACAACAAGTACAGTTCAATATCATATTTATTCCCGGTTCATTAAAGGTAAAACGAGCAAATCACAACAAAATCCGATAGACATCATCAAGTTATATTCAATTGTTAAGGCAGATTGTGTCAAGGTGACAACATCAGAAACAGAACCGGTGATTTTAATCATTAAATCGATCGTGCTTACAAATCTGGTAAAACAAGCAACAATAATTCAACAACTTGCAAAGAACTCGACTAGATCCTAAATCCTAAGAATGTTAGGTCGTTACACCGTCCGAGTAATGATTTTTTGCTGGTTTTTTGCATCACCAGTTGCGGACTCCATTTCCGGCTCCCGAACGGAGTCCTTTAACTTGATTTGTTTCCACTCCTTTATACCTTCCGCCATGATATCCTTTTCGTCGAGGGTATCCAACCATGCCACCTGAAAAACTAAGCGAATAAGGATAACATGAATTTCCACAAAACGTCCACAAAACACGAAACTGCGATGTACTATAAAATGGAATCAGTAGACAAAGATTCAGCCCTCTCCCCTAGTTTCAACCCAACAAGATCAGATTATGGTTTCATGAATTACTGCAGCACAATATCGAATATTATGAAAGTCGAGTACGTTACACTCAATGTTGTAACCAGTGCTTCAAAAAACCCTATTCTTTAGTTGGAAATGATTAGCGAGACGAAACTGGAGTACGACGCAGATTCAATCGCGCCGAAGTCGCACCGCTGCTCAAAGAAGAGGACCGTGAGATCATTCAGACGCTATCGAAAACTATTTTAAAACCAATGTGAACCAAGCAATTTTGATTTTTCACGGCTCCATGACTTTTCAGGTCGATATAATCTAATCTGCCACGTTTCTGCAGATCCCATACTCTGAACACGCACAGAACTTTTGCCCTAAAGCATAAAAGCGATTGCGATTAAAAAGAATTTGCAAGAAACAAATGCAGAGTGGAGCCCGATCCGAAGCTGACTGATTTTCTCGCGAATCAGCATGAGATAACAATTAAAAGCAACATTCCGCATGCCCGATGGACAGCTGCAATCTTCAAAAAGTAAAAAAAAAAA